GATGTTCACAAATGGTAAAGATCATATGACCGATGGTTATCAGTAAGCAAAGACTTGCTGCGATTGAATATGGAACCTTGATATTTGTTGAAGATGAAAATGAAAAAGTTTCCATGGTAGAATTGAGATTTGAATTGGATAATTCAATCTGTTCTTCACCGAGAAATTGAGCTACGAGAATATTGGCTAATGCAGCACCAAATCCAAAGCCCAAGTGAATCGTATTCAATGGAGTCGATGCATGGTCACCCCACATGGTCAATACAAGGTCTATGCCACCTAAAACAAGCGTTATTCAATGTCTGCATGTTTTAGAATCATCAACAAAGCTGACCGATATCGGTGAATCCTTGAGAGATACCTTTACAGAAGAACAAAACTGATAGAACCAACAATGAGCCAATATATGGAGTGACAAAAACGACTAGAAATTATCAAGTGATCGAATGAGAAAAGATTCAAGTCCACTGACCAACAGATGCAATAAAAAATGCGACAGCAAGCAAAGCTTCCGGATATCGTTTAACCGTTGTTAGCATATCTGCTCCAATTATAGCTCCAGCCAAGTACCCACCGCTGCGAGCAGCTAAAATAGTACTGATTCCAGTGAAAGTTACACCTGTCTGGAAAGCCAATATTTTCAAAGTTGGACCAATCAGTTCAGCATGAATGCCCTATCATCAATCAATAACTCTTGTAGAAAGAAGAAACAATCGAAAGATAACCGACCATAACAATCCAAGAAATCAACAGAAAGCCCGTTTTGAGCAATTCCCAGGGTCGAGACATATATACTTGCAGACTTGTCTTCTTTTTTGTCTCGACTCCATCATCCGATTTCGAAGCCATTGATTTTCTTCTTCTTCACTGACTAGCAATCAAACAAGCAACAGTAATGAAAATGCAAAAATAATAATCAAATTCATGTAATGTTTGACTTTGAAGGTTAATGTCAGGCAACTATTTTTGAATAATAAAGATTGAGGTGAGTGTCGCTCTATGCGAATAAAAGAATCCTAAAAAACAAAATACAACATTTATCCTCTTCAAAAATCCTGGACGGATCTTTCATCCACCATTCTTCCTTGCATATATATGTGTCCGTCAGTTTTCCCTGTAAATATCCATGTTCTTGAGAAGAAAACGACAACAAGATCAATGTAACGTAAAAGACATACTCACATAAGCAATATCAGCAAGTACCTTGTCATATTGTAAAAATTTAAATAATGAAAGAAATAGCAAGAGACAGACTCTGATAAAGTCACTTGTTTTTTTACGTTCTGTCCTTCTGATACGTACGCATGTGCATCTTTACATCATATCAAGTCATTCTACGCAGATCATTCATCTTTTTCTGCATGTGTATCACAACCACAGCATAGTTTCTTATCTACTTCTACAATAAAGATTTGAAACGATGCCTCGACCCATTAAATGACGCTTCCCATCATGTTTTAGAGTTCACAACTGCTACATACACATTTTCTTTATTTTTGGAATATGACATCTCGATCAATGGCAACATACAATCAACGTAGATTTGAGACAATACTTTCTCTATGCATGTGAACGGGGTTGACAATGAAAACAACTCAAACCATCAAATGATGATAATATCAATGCTTTCTTTTTATTGACTGAGGTGAATGCACATGATGATGCCCGAGCATTAAAAATAATCTGTTTATAATAGATTTAAAATGAAAAAAAAATAAGTACCGAAAGAATATAGTATTATCTGTGAGAATATATCAACTGATTATTATAATCTATCCGACAGTAAGACAGAAACATGAGGCGCGTTTTTGAATCCTAGCAAGATCTCAACTATCGACATGTAACATCTTGAGCTCTCTATCCTTAGCCACTAAGCCCCACTTACAACCAAATGGGTGAAATCGACTAGTCTATTATATCGGTAACATAAAAAAGAAAATGTTTTCCGACTTTTCCGCTTGTTGTTGATGTATGTGTGTGTTCTTTAGTTGTGAGTTTCTTGTTTGCTATTATGGGTAAGATTTCCTTTTTCTTTCTCGTCTCGCACTGCTTTTTTCTCCTACAACTTTGTACATGGAACAAAATAGAAAAATGGCCAAGATAACCTAACATAAAGATAGCTTCACTACTGATCTATTTACATGAATATTTTCTCTCCCTTATTTGTTATTAACAATGAACATCGAGTATTCATTGAAGTCATTCAAATATGACTTAAAGTACATACGTAAGTTTTGGGCTGCTTTAGAAAACCTCATCTTTCCTTAGAATAGACAAGCGTAATCATTGGCTGACTTCGCCCATAAAAAAAACCAATCATTCTCGAGCATCTGTCTTAGCTGAAAGTATTTCGGTTACAAAATACCCTATCTAATTGATGAAGAGAGTAATAAGCAAGTGAAAACTCCATCGAAAAGTTGACTTTTATCGAACTGCATTCTCGGATCAATGATCATCAATTTTTTTTATTCGATGTCAATGAGAACCCTACTATGTTTGGGTGTGGGTGAGGGTGGGTGTGTGGGTGTGGGTGTGGGTGGGGTGTGGGTGTGGGTGTGTGGGTGTGAATGTGGGTGTGGGGCGTGGGTGTGGGTGGGTGGGTGGGTGTGGGTGTGGGTGTGTGGGTGTGAATGTGGGTGTGGGTGTGGGGCGTGGGTGTGGCTTAAAACAGTATTCACACCCTCACACTCACATTTTTTTGTAAAAACCAAAATATTCTTGTAATATCTGAAGTGAAATATTGCTTTCTAGATTTTTTTTATATAGTTCGATAGAATTCATCAAGCTCTGCAATAGTATGAATATCAACAAGCTTAATGATCCTGTTTCTGATACAAAACTTGAAGGCAAGCAGAAAGACTAATAAAACCTCATATATCTTGCATTAAAGAGAGTGTACTTAACTTTTAATAACTTTATTCGATCGACTGCTCCGTCTGTTCCTGCAGCTCAGAAAGGGTAGTTTCAACTACAATACGTGACAAAGCATATCGAAACATAAAACAATAGACAGAACAATCTATCTACCAAAGTCATTGATAGTTACACATACTCTACAATGCATGATATGCCAAATTATTATTAGTCTATCTGATTTCTCTCAAGTTTTGTATTGAAAAGAGGTTCAGATTTTTTTAAAATATCCATATTCTTGTAGAGCTTGTCGAACTCTATCGAAGCATATAAAAATATGTAGTAAAAACATGTAGAAAACTATAATTCGATTGTCTTTGATGGCTCAAACATTGCAAGAATATTTTTCATTTTTGCAAAAAATATAACCTAAACATTTCCAGTCAAAATTAATAAAATAACCATAACTTTGTAATAAATATATGTATTTCGAACAGTGTTTTTTTTTCAAATGATAACTCTTCTCTTTCTCTACAAAATGGCATAATTTAATCAATACCTTCATATAACTTCGATATAGATATCATTGATTTACTGAGAGGGGCCGAAACTTTCTGAATACCCTTTAGTAGAATATTAATAAGTTCAGACATCTGGGGTTAGACTTTTTCCAATCTTTTTTTTGTTCCCTTTTTTTTTGCTTTCAATTCACTGTAATGAAAAATTATTGATTGTATATGAGCACTACTTGTATGTTAAGAATTTCAAATGTTGATTATAAAATGAAGAACATTCTCCGAACAAACTATTTTAATAATATTTCTTGACCAAATTTTATTTTTTCTCATTTTCTTTACATTGATTAAAATAATAAAGAACAGTAACTGTTTATGTCAAAGTAAAAAAAGAACATTTAACCGAGTTTTTACTGAAATTAACAGTTAAACTTGTGTTAAATGGTATTTTAAGAGTATTGCATCAGAACAAAATACAATTAGATTTCTACTTTTAACAAAAATTGACTTAGTTATTCTTTTAAAAACTACCATCTATTTTCACCCGTTAAAATATGTTAACGCGTTTAAATAGATATTTTCATTCTTAAAAAATTTCATTCAATTATTTGTTGTTGAATATATTATTATTCATTTTCACCCGTGAAATATTTTGAATCTTCAATTTGATCTATTTTCTAGTGCATTTTATAAAACATTGATTTACAAAAGCGCATATCTATACAATATCAAGTACATAAGGGGAGCTTGTTCATTCAAAATATAGACAGATTTTTATCAGTCTAAATAGAAGGTTGATTTAGAGCAACCTTTTATTTGTTGTATTGGTCAGTAAAACTGCTTGTATTCTTTCAATTTTTATATAAGACTCTTTCTATATGAACATTGTTTATATTTTGTAGATAGTTTCAAAAGTATAGGTCTCTATTTTATAGGTAGTTTGTCACAAAAACCACTCGTTAGATGTCTGAAATCCTAAAAACATAAGATTCATTTTTTTTGTAGAATCTTCATCAAATCATTCTAAGTTTCATCGAACTTAGAACTATAATAATTATGTTATTGAGTGAACGAATCTTCTGTTTGTTGAAGGTTAAATTATTTTTTTTTTTTTGTTGATGTTAACTTGAAAGTTTCCAGAATAGTTCATTATTAGTTTAGCTATCATAATTTAACTTTTTCACTTATAGATTTTACATCAAATATTTAAAAAATGTGACTTGTTCATTTTTATTAAATGTGTAAACTAATATCAATTTCTCTTTTAATTGTTCAATTTGTTTGACGCTTCATTTTATCAATGATTTTAGTCTCTGTAGACTATTTTTACGATAAAAAAATCCCTTAGTAAAAATAAACATCCATCAGTAATGCTCAAAACACATTCTCTAAATTAGTAATAGTGACACAAATGAGGAAAATGCAAAAAACAATTTTGTTTATTTAGCATTATGGTCTTGTACGTTACAATTACTATTAATGATGTAGAGAAAGAACACGTATGTCTGTACTAAAAATAAGTATATTGGGTGTGATGTGGGTGTTCTCTTCATCCACACCCTCCAGATAGCCACTCACACCCACACCCTTCGCAAATGGTAGCCAGACTCATCTATTTGTATAGACTGTATTTTATTGTAAGCGTTTTGTTAAAACAGAAAATTTCAGTTCGTCCAGATCTACTTTCGCTTGAAGTTGCACTTTGGATGGCAACGGTATCAATCGTCCCGTATCTATAAAACCTTGTCGTAAACACCATTCAATTTGATTTCGTTTACTCCGTATTATACAAGAATAAACTCGTTGTGCATTAAAATATTCCTTTGCAATACGCTAAAAAATCAAGAGTATTACTTCTTCTGTTGAGTGAATACAACTCAATGACAAACTTACTACAGCTCCATTATACAACAGTGTTCCAATGCCTCGGCTTTGATAATCAGGATCCACAGCATTCAGACCAAATTCAACAGCTACATCCTGTTTTTCTTCCTCAGTCATCTGTAAATTTTTGTCATATGTGCTAATTTTCCAACAGCCAACTATTTTTGAGCCTGAAGGTGTCTTAAGTTTTGCAACAAGTACAACAGTATGTTGTTCATCATCTATCAATTGCCTAAGTTCTTCGGACGTAATTCGTGCGCCTTTCAATAAATGTTGTTCACCAATCCAGCCCGAGTAACTTTCTTCAGGCGACGAAGCTGAAGGTTTACCTCTATATGCCCAATTAATTACTTTACACAACTCTTCTACGTCATCGTGTGATGCGAAGTACAAGTTAATATCAGGATTTGAATAGTCATCAAAAAGCTGTCCTTGTCGAGAGCTGCTGTTGTTGGCCATAACACAAAAAAACCTATATGCAAGAGTAAAATAGCACACTGTAATAATATTATGAAATAATGTAACAACAATATAAGCAAATACATAAAACGATGATAAGAAATGAAAGAAGAGAATAAAGATACTACTTATAAATAACAAAGTTACATCACTCATTTACACGTTTCAGATATGGCCTCATCAAATGTGGGTGTGGCTGTGTGAGTGTGGGTGTGGGTGTGAGTGGGTGTGAATTGAATGTGGGTGTGTGTGTGGGCTGTGGGTGTGGTAGTGATCATGTAATTGTTGTCCTGAGGATTAACCGAAAGCATCCACACCCATCGACACTCACACCCACATCCACACTTAGGGTGTGGATGTGGTTGTGGTCGTGTAATTGTTGTCCTCAGCATTAACCGAAAGCACCCACACCCATCCACACTCACACTCACACACCCACACCCCCATAATTAAATGTCAACGATAGTTAAATACTTTGAAGCTATTTATTGTAGTTATTTTCAATGGCGAAAATCACTATTTATTGCTTCAAAATTTGATTTTTTTTTAGTCCTATTTCTCAAGATTTATTTATTGGTATATTAATAAACATAGTCAAGATAATTTGATATTCGATAGATGATCGTACAACTTTCAGTTAAAGTCTTGTTGCATTATAACTGGTCATGTCAGTAACTGACAATATCGATTATTGTTGAATATAAAATAGCATCAAGAATGGCAAAAAAAAATATTAGTCTATGTAGAAGTGATGTATGAAATTGTTAAAAAAGGTTATAAGAGCCATTGAAAATAATTAATTGTCTTATTCCTCGTTATAAACTTGAAATGTGACCTGAAAATTATAAGAACAGTTTCTATCACATATGGAATCAACTATTTATTAGTACACGAGTTATAAACACTATGAACTCATTAAAGACAAACAAAATAGTTCACATTCAATCAAAGAACCCGTGCAAAAACGTGATTCTACGTTAGTGCTTCTCCAAATTAAATAAGATAATAAAAATACAGCGAACATTGAGAATTTCTATGCTTTATTTCATTTATTTTGATTGCTTGCATTTGTTTTTAAATATATAATAAACTTCGGCCTTGTATACAAATAATAAACAAAATTCGACTTAGTTTTATTTTCTGGATAATATAACCCTTGAACAAATAACAAATTTCATTAATCATTCAAATCAAGCAAATCTTCCCTTATCCTCAACCTTGATTCCCGCTAACCATTGAATAAAAGACAAATATGAAAATATCTGAACTTTTTCAATAGTCAATGCAAAGAATTCGGCACGGTTACGACTTGACTGGACTTTCTCTCCATTCGATATTCATATTCCTTAAAACAATGAATTCATCTCAAGATAGTCACTCTTTCTATAATGGTCAATCAATTACAGTGCAATGCCTATGAAGTCGACCATCTTTTTTGTCTTTTTTGTCACCTTTCTTTTTCATTCCACTCTTCAATTTCATTTCAGACAACACCTTAACAATGACTATGAATAAACCTATCAAAATAATTGACTTTTCGACGTGAATTGGGCTAATGATAGACAGAAATCGAGAGACAAACTGTTGAAAATGAGTCGGAAAAATTCAAGCAAATATCAAATGAGAGAAAGGACTTCTCGATTACTTTCATGTGAACATGGGAAGTGATCGATATTAAACATGTGATATAAACCACCAACCGTCCACGATTTGATCAGAATAAATTGATTGGAAATGTTAAAAATCTGAAAGTTCGATCGAGATAAAAATAAAAGGAGATGATTTATCTTGAAAAACAACAATAGATCAGCAGATCAAAAGATCAATGCAAAGAGAAAAACAAATAAAAAAATGAAGAAGAGACGATACGTTAAGATAAGGATATTTCAGCTAGTGAGAAACAAATACCGCTAACGATTGTCTTCATTCTTCAATAGGATAAGAAATCATTCTTCAGCATGTTCAGTTGATAGTGCTTTATTTGAGATTATTGGTTCATTGAAGATTTTATGAACCAAGATCGAACTTTCAAGAATATTCTTTGTTATTGAAGAGACTGATGAAGGTTGCTTGTCACCATGTTCGTCGATGATTGGAATTGGCGAATTTTTTCTCGTATTGGCTTTTTTACGAGGTGACAACGAACGGCTACGGGTTTTCATTGGCCTAGAATTAAATAAAGAACAGAATCGATAAGATTCTATTTTGACTGTTTCTTTTGAAAGGCTTAGAGAATAATTACTGAAGATTGTTTCAAGTTTGTTTAATATCAACGCTCAACATAGAGAGAACTATTTCTCCAGAGCATTCTTTTTTTCACACATGAAAGAGATTGTTTTTTGAAACATGAAATAAGAAATCATTTTGAAATCTTCTTATTCTTTGTCTCTATATATATGTAAAGTTACAACACATTCTTAGTTACTTAGGTTACAAAAGGTAACATGAAAGTTCATCTTTCGCGCTTTCACATCTTTAAATATCTAAGCAGAATCGAAATCAATATATCCAGTGAAAAATCTTGCACAAAGTTTATCACCATACATTCGAAGATTGTTTTCCGTATGTTTGACAATGCCATCTGGAAAAATGATAAAAAGAAACCAACAAATCTTTGGATTTCTAGGAAAAGTGTATTGCACAGAGCAGAAATAGGTTGAATCTATACTCGAGAAACCCTAGAGCAGCTTAAATCTGGCTTCTAACTATTGAAGAATGAAGTTGTGATTAAGCTTAAACTATTTTTCCCCCAATTTGTCCCTCGTTCTCGATCTGATCATCAACTACAAACATGGAATTTTCCCTTACCTTTAACATTCAAATCCTTGATTATGGTACTCAGACAAAGGATTGTTTGATTCAATGACGGTTTTCTTCATGTGTAAAATTCAAAAAATAGACATGAATTGAAGAGAAATGGCAAGAGAAAATCTATACTAACAATTTCTCGTTGAAGACATGCAATTCTTCATTATTCAATGTATAACCCAATTTACCTAATTCAGCACAACTCGATCGAATCACTAGGAAAAGAGTGAGTGAAAATGAGAGTAAGAAAATTTCATGTTTTACTAGGAAGTTTCTCGATATTTCCATTCCAATTCGATAATCGTAATGTATGTGCACGAATCTTCATCGCAGTAATCGTTGCAGCATTGCATTGTTGCGAAGATGATTCTTGATTGGATTCCATAGATGAACTAGAAAATTGATCGAGAATTTCTAAAACTTCATCCAGAACCTTTGAATGGAGAAAACAAACGACGAAGATGATCAATTGATTCGGAATTTGGCACATACTTTAAAAACATTCTTCTCATAATCTGGTGAATCTTTGCTAAACGTTTCCACAGAAAACAATTTAACAGCTGCATCACCCACATTTCCTGTACTGCTCATATTGAAAATGAACTTATTGCAATCCCAGATACTAGATTTGATTTGAATATGGTACTATTGTTACAGTAGAATCTTCATTACTATCTCCCTATTCCTCACCAATGATGTTGATATTCGAAGTTGAAATTGGTAAATAGATGGTGTCACATGACGATATTAATCGATCAAAATCAGACACAGTAAAAAAAGTCTTTTTTATTGTGCGATTGAAAGACACTATGTTGATGCTTGTTCAATATTTGTATAAATTTTTATAACGTATTGAAATTTTTCTATATTGAGATAATTGATTAAGACATTGAAATACATGAATACGAGTCTAAAAAATATTCTAAATTTTTTTTTGATAAATATATTTTCTTTACTTCAGTTTCTTTATCATCAGATGGTTTGGGTGTGTATGGGTGTGGGTGTGGGTGTGTGGGTGTGTGGGTGTGGGTGTGTGTGGGGTCTGGGTGTGTGGGTGGGTGTGGGTGGGTGTGGGTGTGA